AAAAGAGAGAAACAGGAGGGCAAATAGAATATCTGTGGAAATAATGGCTGAAACTTCCCAAAGATAAAAAACAATCTACATATCAAAGAATTTCAATAAACTCCAAAAAGAATAAACTCAAAAAAATCCAAATCTAGACATCTCTAAGGTCAAAAGCAAAGAGAATCTCAAAAGCAACTTTTTGAGTTGAGAAGCAACTCATCAGTAAAATGATCCTTAGCAAGATTAATAGCTGAATTCTCATTCCTTATAGAAGCCAGAAAGCAGTAGGATCAAACATTCCCATTATGAAGGAAAAGAATGTCAACCAAAAATTCTATATCCAGCAAAACTATGCTTCAAAATGAAGGAGAAATGAAGACATTCTCAGATAAACAAAAACTGTGAAAATCCACTGCTAGTAGACCTGCCCTCCAAGAAACACTAAAAAGCCTTCAGGCTGAAATAAAAGGACATTACAGACCATAACTTGAATCCATACAATAAATTGGCTACAAAAGGTAAAGGAAACTACATCAGTAAATAAAAGACAATATAAATGTATTTTGTTTGTAACTTCTTTTTCCTCCTGAGTTAAAAGACAACTACATAGAACAATAATTATAAATCTATGCTGATGGACACAGAAAATATAAAGATGTAATTTGTGACAATGACAGCATGAAGGTGGGGGTAAACAGAACTATTTAGGAGCAAAGTTTTGTATACAACTGAAATTAGTTGGTATTAATACAAACTAGACTGTTTTCAGTTTAGGTGTTACTGGTACTCCCTAGGACAACCACTGAGAAAATTTAAAAAAAAAAAAAAGTTAAAGAAACACATGAATAAAATGGTACATTAGAAAGTATCTATTTAACACAAAGAAGGCCGTAATGGAGGACCCGAGGAACAAAAAAGACATAAAACAGAAAACAAATAGCATAATGGCATACATAAATTTTACCTTTTCAGTATGTGCATTAAATTTAAATTGACTAAGCCCTCTGATCAAAAGGCAGAGATTGACAGAAAAACAAAATTCAACTTATGCTATATAGAAGAGACATAGTTTAGATTCAAAGACACAAATAGGTTAAAAGTAAAAGGATAAAAAGATACACCACAGGAACAAAAATTAAGAGAGAACAAGAGTAGCTATATCAGACAAAACTGACTCTAAGACAAAAACTGTTACTAGTAATAAAGAAGGATGCTTTATATAATAATTACAAAAGGGTCCACCCATCAATATGACATAACTATTACAAGCATTAAATAAAAATTATTTCTACTCTCAACATTTCTGAAACCAAATGTGTGGGGTTTTCCCCACCAAGCAATTCTGACACTAACTGCCATGAGTTAGAGTAGACCCCACGGATTAAGGGCTCAATTCCACAAAACAGCCACCGCCATGTTAGATGCTAATCACAAATCCAGGTTGTCATCTGTGCTTCTGACCAAGCAGCTGTCTACTGGAGGGTCCCACAAACCCCTCCTCAGGTTAAATAACTTGCTAAAACAGCTAACAGAACTCAAGAAAACAGTTTACTTACTAGATCATTGGTTTATTACAAAAGCATATAACTCAGGAACAACCAGATGGAAGAAACGCATAGGAAAAAGTACAAGGGGAGGGGCACGGAGCTTCCATGCCCTCCTCAAGTACACCACTCTCCCCCAATCTCCACATGTTCACCAATTCAGAAGCTCCTGAACACCTCTGGTTTGGGTTTTTTATGGAGGCTTCACTACATAGGCACAAGTGATTACATCAGTGGCCATTAGTAATTAACACACCCCTTCTCCCCATCCCTGGACACTGGGGGTGGAATGAAGAGTGGGGCTGCAAGTTCCAACCCTTTAATTAGAAAGTAGGTTCCCTGACAACCAGCCCCCACATCCTTAGGAGCTTTCCAAAAGTCACTTTATTAACATGGTTGAAACGGGAACAAAAGACATTCGATTCACCTTTGTCAACCTGGAGCTATTTCAAGAATTGGGAACAAAAAACAAATAACAACTTATTATATTACATTAGAAGCTCTGCCCCAGGGAACCAAGGACAAGGACCAAACATACTTTTTTTTTAGCTGAGCCATCCTGCCACCTCTTGGCAACTCAGCAGCAGCTCAGCTCGGGTCGGGAATCGAACCGGTGACCCTGTTGCTCAGAGCTTGCACTCTTGCGGGAGTTCTTAACCAACTGAGCCACTCGGCCAGCCAAACGTACTTTTTATTATATCTAATATCACAAACATATATGCACCTAACAATAGTGCCAAAATATACAAAGCAAAAACTGACAGAATTGAAGGGAGAAATAAACAATTCAACAATAAGAGTTGGAGACTTCAATACCTCACTTTCAATAATGGATAGAAGAACGAGGGAGAAGACCAACAAGGAAAAAAAACAATAAACACCACCTAACCAACTAGATCTAAAAGACATCTGTTTCACTCCATCCAGTAACAGGACAATATACATTCTTCTCAACTGCACATGGGACATTCTCCAGGACAAGCCATATATTAGGTCACAAAACAAGCCTCAATAGATTTTAAAAAGGATTGACTGAAATCATACAAACTATGTTTTTGAGCCACAACGGAGTTAAGTTAAAAATCAATAACTAAAGGAAATTTGGAAAATTCACAAATACATGAAAAGTAAACTCTCCTAAAATAACCAATGGTTCAAAGAAGAAATCAGAAGGGAAATCAGAAAAATACTTTGAGATGAATGGAAACAGAAAAAACATGCAGTTAAAGTAGTACATAGAAAGAAAAGTATAGCTGTAAATTCCATATTTAAAAAGAAAAACTCAAGGGCCGGCCGAGTGGCGCAATGGCTAAGAACTGGCTTGGGACGCCAGAGGGCCCCGGTTCGGATTCCACATGTGAGGGCCAGTGACACTGCCCTCCACAGCTAAGATGCTGAACAACAGCTCAACCTGGAGCTGGGCAGCCGTGAGTTGCCGGCGACAGTGTAGGCTGCAGCCCCTGCTGCAGTGGGTTGCCATGGGCTGCCGTGGGTTGCCATGGGCTGCCGTGTGTAGCCAGCAGCCAGCGTGAGCGGCCAGCAGCCACAGTGAGTGGCTGTTAAGCCAGCGACTGATCTGCCTCACCCGGGAAGAGCGCAATGATGGTGCCAACTTGGGCCAGTGAAGCAACATCCTCCACAACTAGACTGAAGAACAAAATGACAACAACTTGTCTGTTCCCCTTCCCCCAACTCACCAGTGCTGTTCCCATCCCCCCAATTCCCCAATAAAAATCTTTAAAAAAAAAACAAAACTCAAATCAATTCCCTAATCTTAAGACATTATAAGAGAACAATTTAAACCCAATCTGGCAGAATAAAGGAAATAATAAATGCTAGAGCAGAAATAAACAAAATAGAAAATAAAACACCAATAGGAAAAGTCAACAAAATAAGCCAGAAGTTGGAAGTTTGAAAAGATCGACAACACTGACAAATCTTTAGACTGACAAAGAGAAAAACAAAACTCAAGCTGCTAAAATCAGGCATTAAAGCAGGGACACCACAACCTTATAAAAATAAAAAGAATCTAAGGGAATACTATGAACAAATGTATGCCAATGAATAACCGAGATCACATGAGAAAATTCCTAGAAAGACACCAAGTCCCCAAACTGGTTCAAGAAGAAACAGAAAATCTGAATAGATGTATAACAAGTAAAAAGATTGAATTAGTAATTAAATAACTTCAAAGAAAAGTCTAGGCCCAGATGGTTTCACTGATGAATTCTATCAAAATGTTTAAAAAATTAGTAACAACCCTTTACAAACTATTCCACACAATGGAAGAAGAAGAAACACTTTCTAATTCTTTGAGGCCAGTATTACCCCGATACCAACACCAAACAAAACCAAGAAAACTACAGATCAGTATCCCTTATAAATAAATATAGCTATAAAAGTCCTTAACAAAATACTAGCAAACCAAATCCAGCAACATATAAAAATGATTATACACTGTGACCAAGTGAGATTTATCCCAGGAATACAAGGTAGGTTTAATGTTCAAAAATCAATGTAATATATCACCATATTAGTAAAGTAAAAGACAAAAACCACATGATCATTTCAATAGAAGCAAAAAAACCCTTTGAGAAAATCCAACATCCATTCCTGGGAAAAATTCTTAGCAAACCACGAGTAGTAGGAAACATCCTCAATCTAATAAAACCCACAGCTAACACAGCATGCTAAGTGAAAGAAGCTAGTAAACAAAGGATCACATGTCATGTGATTCCATTTCTACAGAATGTCCAGAATTGGCAAATCCAGAGATAGCAAGTAGATCAGTGGTTGCCCGGTGTTGAGGGGCTAGGAAATGGGGAGATTTAGAAGTGATTGCTAATAGGTATGGAGTATTCTTTTTGGAATGTTAACGATATTCTTAGATTGCCATGATGGTTGTACAACTCTGAATATGCAAAAATCCACTGAACTGTATAGAAGGATAAAATTTATGGTATATAAATTACATATCAATAAAGCTGTTATAAAAAATGCATTCTTGGGGCCGGCCGAATGGCTCAGTTGGTTAAGAGTGCAAGCTCTGAGCAACAAGGTCACCGGTTCAATTCCCACATGGGCCAGTGAGCTACTCCCAAGCTGAGCTGCCTCTGAGCTGCCAACAGGTGGCAGGATTGCTCAGCTGGTGAGAGCACATGCTCCTAACAAGGCCACTGGTTCGACTCCCACATAGGATGGTGGGCTATGCCCACCCGCAGCTAAGATTGAACACGGCACCTTGAGCTGAGGGGCCACGAGCTGCCAACGGGCAGCCAGATGGCAACTGGACTTGGAGCTGAGCTAGCTGCGCCCTCCATAACTCAGACTGAAGGACAACTTGGCAGTTCCCCTTCCCCAATAAAATCTTAAAAAAAAAAAAAAAATGCTTTCTTCAGATTTAAGAAGCCCTTTCTACAAATAACCATAGAATCAGATCAACAGCTCAGAATAGGGCAGAATCATGACACTCACCTCGAGCTCTTCACTGTCTTTGGGTTTCTCCTCAGAGGTCTGTTTAACAAAGTCAGGGATGAGGATTTCCAACGTAGCTCGGGCTAGGAAAAGAAAATCCTTGAGAATGAGGGCTTGGATCCAGCCTGCTTCCCAACTCCAGAGCAAGCTGCACACTGGCTCCTGTGCAGGGAAGGCCAAGGTCTCCACAGCTCAGAGGGGAGCAAAGGCCCCAGGGAGCAGCAGCACTTTAGAGGCAGCGACAGCAGACAAAAAAAAGTACAGCCTGAGGAATGAAGGCAGTGCTGGGAACACTTGCCCTGAGACACTTGTAGCAGGTGAGGGAGAGATCTGTGTACCAGAGGAATCCTGTTGGTGATGTGGGGGCAAATGGCTCAGCAGAACCTGGGCCAAGTAGGGAGGACTACAGGCTGAGCAGGCTACTGGAGTGTGGCAGGGAGAGGCAGCCACACAGAATGGTCCTCTGGAGAAAGCGTCTGCAGGACAGAGCACAGGCGCCTGAATGAGCAGGGCTGCTACTTGCCACTGGGTTGGGGAAGTGGGGCAATGGGAGAGGAGGGAGGGGTATGTGCAACAGTCTAACCCTGTAGGGTTGTAGTGCTAGCAAAACATCTGAGTGCAGGTGTCTAGAGAGCAGCTGGGGCCTGGTCAGAAGCGGATCCCTGCATGTGGGGAGTAGTACAGCAGGGCCCTGCCACCAGGATGTCTCAACCCCAATGCTGGGCCAGACGCTGAGGGTTATCTGCTCCATGACCTTGGTAACACCCAGTCTGTTGAGCCAAAAAAGTCTTTCTTTTGGCAGAATTTCTCAAAATTAGACAGCAGGCCTTCTTGGAGAATGGGGCCAAATGTGTGAGTCCAGCACAGCCTCACAGAGGAAGGACAGACAGTAATGTACTGTTTCAATTGTCCTCAGCATACAACATAAAATAAAGCATCACGGATGGAAATTCTGAGTCTCATGAGCAAAAATACTTTCACTGACCCGAGACCTTGTGAGACTGTGATAAAACTGACACACTTCACACTCTGTGAAGGGCGGCGCTGCTCAGGAAGACAATATGGGAATGACAGAAACCTCAATCATCGACCTATGGGTGCCAGGGCCTGGGGTGCACCCAAAGCCACTCTGCAATGTGGTCCACTCCAAGAAGAGGCCAAATAGCCCTGACACTGGGGCAAATGGCTTCTAGAAAAGAATGCCAATGACTACTAGTGCTGGGCACGAAAGCAAACAGCACGTACATGGTCAAAAAGAGCAATGGATTTTAACCAAAAAAACATAAGCTTTCCCACGATCTACTGCCGTACTGTGTTGTTCAATGAGTGGCAGTCCCAAACTTGGAATTTGAAGGACTCAGGAAATCATCCTTGCAAATGTCAAAATCACTCAAAGAGAATGCCAACAGCATGCTGACCCACCTGTTTTTCATCTCCTAGCATGCACACATTTTGCTCAGTTTAAATACAAACCCACTCTAAAACAAGTGCCCAGCAGAGCCCTGTCAGCTCGGTGAGCAGTGGGGACAAAGGTGGGAGACGACAGCTCAACTGCCCCTGAGTAGAAAAGGGATCTTCTATTTTTATTTCTCACGTTTTTCTTTCTGTATTTGAATCTTTTCCATTGAACATATAATTTTATAAAGTCAAAGTAGATGACTACTTAAATAAAATGGATTTGCCCCACCCATACCCCTCCCACTTGGGCTGCTGCTCAGCCCTCCCCAGCCAAGCAAGCACATTACCAGCTTTATTCTTCGCAAGTTTTTTGCTGCTTGCAGTTCCAGATCCATAGGTCACACCATCAATAGTCACCGAGGCACCAAAAGGCTCACTTGGGTTCTCTTAAAATTAAAATTACTGTTTTAAAACACACTTGCCAAGACATTAAAAGCATGCATGCATACATACATACACACGTACACACACGCGCACGCGCACGCGCGCACGCGCGCGCGCGCACAATCTGCTCACACCAAGATAAAGTGGTGTCAGGGCTGCTGCTGGAGGCAGAGACCTAGGGGCTCCCTGAGGCATTGAGATGAGGCTGAGGAATGGTCAGCAAGCAAACAGCACACCAGGAAAATGGTAGGAAACAGGACTGTGAGATAGTGAGCTGGAGGGGAAACAAGAGGCCAGAGGCAGAGCCACCAGGACGGGGACGAAGGTCTGTAAAAGATGGGCAGAGAACTGAGGAAAGGGGCAGCACAGATGTAGTGAGCCAAAGAAACAACATGAAAAAAATGAGTAACTCCTAGATTTTGGCTTCCAAGAGGAAAACAAACTGGTTTTCACAAAGTTGTGATGAAGATGGTTGGATGAGCGATAGCTGGTGGGAAGTGCAGGCCTAAAGCCCCTTCATCCACCTGGGGGCGCCTGAAGACAGTGGGGAGGCTATCCTCAGAGCAAGCGACAAAAGGAAGGTGGGGGAGGGGGAAGTGTAGACAAAGGAAGCAGCAGCAGAGGCACAGATCCTTAGAAGGGACACAAATGAACTGCCTCTCTGCAACATGCTTCTCCTTGCTCTCCCCTTTTCATTTCTATCCCAGCTAAGTGGGGCTAACGGCCAGCTTCCGACTCCCCATCCATGACTCAAGTGAGGCGTGTAACTTTAGGACTGAGATGCAGAAGGTCAAACTTACCACATTCAAAGAAATTATAAACGGGGCGGACCTTGAGGACGCGCTGCATGTACTCGTGCAGGATGCAGACCTCGGATTTCCCATTGGGGTTAATGACAAACTCTGTGACAAGAGGGACGGTCTCAGCAACAGTGTGAGCACCCACCACAAGCTAGCACTTGGGACCTGGCACCATCCAAGTTAATGAGTCACTGAATTAGGAGGGGTTCACCACAGCAAATGTGGCGGACCTCTGCATTGGTAAACATAAGCCCTGAATTAAGTACAACTCAAGCACGAAGTATACATTTTAAGCATCAAATGAAAAATAACAGTATAACCAGTCTGTCAATGTTACAATTTACAACCACCAACTCACCTTTCTTTGTGGGTGCATCTTGCACAGATAGAGTGATGAGCTTCTGATTGGCCGGCAGAATGGGCCGCTCAGACTCAGCCTGTTTCCGTTTCATTTCTCGGTTGAACTGCCGCCGCTCAGCCCAAGTCCTGAATTTCTTCACAGTAACTTGCTCAAAGTCGAAACGCTTCTCCAAGTAGTTCCGAAATTCCTCAAGATCTGTACAAGATTTACCAGAGAACCAAATTACTAATTTTCAATGCAAGAGTCATGTTTCCTCTGCCCAGTGAGTTGGACAGCAATGAGCTACCCATCAAACAGGTCCTGCCATGCGATACCCACTGCCCTTTTCTTGTTCATTTTGAAGGGCAAATAAAGTGAAGAATTAGGTTCCCTTCACTCAGCCAACTCAAATTATTCTGGCAGGTCCCTTATGAACAAACTTCTGAGATGTCCTTTTAGTTTATTTGGAGCAAGAAGTAGGATTTTTTTTTTAAAAAGGGAAGCTTAAAAAAAAAAAAATCAGATGGCCTTCAGGGCCTTTCTCCCTGTATCAAAACAAGTACCTGACTGCCAACAGCGGTCAGGGGGAGCCATGCATCCACTGCCCACCTCGCTCCCTCCCCTCCAACCACCCTGGCCACCTCTGCATCCAACACACCTAGGCAGCTCAGGCCTTGGGACTCATCACACCTACCCCCTCGGTCCCTGGCTTGGCCCCATGGCTCACCCAGGTGCCTCGCCTCCGTAGCACACCCTTCTGCCCCACCATTCAGTGGTCCCTGGGACGTCCTGCTTTTACTGTTGCACCCACTACCCCCCACTCCTCCAGGACGTGCTTAGAGGTTCCCATGGCCTCCCTGGTTTCCTGCCTGCCTCCCACCACTCAGGCATAAGCCCCAAGACGGAAACGGCCATGGCTCACACCCAGCCCTAAGAGCAGTGCCAGCAGAAGGTGGAGGGAGGGGTTCCATGTAGGAAGACTGGTATGTATACAGTTAAAACAAAAGGCTACAAAACAATTTACTTGTACCTACTTAATTATAAACTGAAACTATGTATTTCTTTACATATGAATGCAGAGAAGTGAGTCTGGAAATAAGCATCAGTGGTCACCTCTTGCAAGAGAGTGACTTTAGAAGTGGGAGGCAGGTGTTTTAGAAAAAAGGAACACATTCAGGTGTTACGTGTGGATAACTCATGGTATGAAGAAATAAACCATTAAGTGAAAGTCTTAAAGGGAGAGCTCCCTTCCAGCTAGGTCCCTGAGAAAAGCCCCAACACATTGACAGAGGAAGCCGACTTGGATGGGGGAGGGAGACAATACCAGGCAGACAAGTTCAGGGGAGACTAGGGTCCATCCGTCAGAGAGGCTGGGGGGCCAGTGAAACGCTTTGCCCTTCCCACCACCCAGAAGCCAACCTCCCCTTCTTCAGCAACAGTGCCCCATCCCCTTAGCTCTTCTAGGGTTCCTCACATGCAAGATTTATGAGACAAGCCAGGCAGCAATACAGACAATCAGAAATCATGAGAACACAAAGTACTCTTGGAAAAAGATTCCGCAGGTTGGCTAAAATAGCTTGCCACCACTGAAGAGATAACTAAGGCTTGAATGGGTACAACTAAACCAAAAGACACAGAAGAGACAGTGAGAAACACCAACACACATCCAAAAAGCAACTGCAGGTAAGCAGGAAATGTCCACGGAAGAGTGCAGAGTTTCCCCACACTGAGTCTGTGGATTGAAAAAGCTCACTTTGAGTATATTAGGATAAATCAAAACACCAAACACACATCCTACTGAAAAAGTGAGGGCCAGCTGAGTCGCGTGTTGGTTAAGAGCTGGCTTGGGACGCCAGAGTGCCCCGGTTCAGATCCCACATATGAGGGCCAGTGACACTGCCCTCTACGGCTAAGATGCTAAACAACAGCTCGACCAGAAGCTGGGCTGCCTTGAGTCACCGGCGACGGCAGGTAGGTTGCCATGGGCTACCGTGTGTAGCCAACAGCCAGCGTGAGCGGCCATCCAGAAGCCAGTGACTGATCTGCCTCACCCGGGAAGAGCGCAATGATGGTGCCAACTTGGGCCAGCGAAGCAACGTCCTCCACAACTAGACTGAAGAACAAAAGGATAGCAACTTGTCTATTCCCCTTCCCCCAATTCCCCAATAAAAATCTTAAAGAAGGAAAGCGAGACTTCAGCAATGAACGTAAAAGTGACTAGAGAAGACCAGTCTACACTGGCAGCACTGGCCTTGCAGGCCCTATAGAGCCCAGGCGCAGGGGCCTGGAGCTTGGGACCCAGACAGGTTCTCCTAAGAACAGGGAGAAGAGCCTTTCCAGCCATGTGGGACTTGGACAGAGATTCCCAGCAATCAAGCCTCACAGACACAACTAGGAACAGATGGCATTCAGCAAAAGGAAAGGGACCCTGGGAAGGTGTGAAATGCAGGGGCATCCCTGCAGACAGTCCTGGCCAGCAAAGGGGAAAGAGAGTTCATCCAGAATCTTACCAACTGATTCGTCTTTGCACACCTCGACTTTGGCCTTCACCTGCCCCAGGGCCCCAGGGGTGGCCTCAGCTCCCAGTGGGTCCTTCTCATCCGGGGGCCCTGAGTCAGCCCCCATGGAGTCAGGCTCTTCCAGGGGAAACTCCAGGTCCGCAGATCGGCTGAGGGGCTTGACAGGGGACACCTCCCCACTAGGGGCGAGCTCATTGTTTTGCTCCCTTTCCTCATTATCCTTCATTTTCTTGTAATGCAGACAGGGGATGCTACTCAGCGGAGGGTCATGTTTCTGTGGATAGTGAAATTGCAACACAGATTACAAGGATGGCCCTGAAGGTCTGAACATCCGACGCCTTTCACCGGCCTCAACTTGGCTACAATGCAATGTGTGCAGACGTGCATGTTTGGTCTGTGAACTTACAAGACTAAATTCATGACTGATGCATCCCCTACCCGTATGCTTCCCGTTCCCAAGAAGTACGGCCTGGACCAGGTGACCACCCGAGACTCTCTGTGTAGGTACACGGGGACTCCGGAGTTATGGAATGTCATGATCCACCCATCAGGCAATGGTTCCGTAGGTGGGCGGCCACGACCTGCACAGAAGACAAGAACATCCTACAATCACTTAAAACACACAGAGAACCATTGGGATGTTTTTAAAATTATGACACATGGCAGATAAAACCAGTAAAATGGACCAAATATTGAAAAGAACCTCTCAGAACTAGAAAAGTAGGGGAGTGGGGAAGTGTCCTGCCCTCCACCAGACAGACACCTTTTCCAGTCCTGCCTGCCACCCGGCACCTTCCATGCATGAAACTGTGCTCTTTTGTGCTTGTTTATTCTGGGTATAATGTAAAGGAACCTAGGCTGCTGTCTCCGCAGCTGGTGAGCACCATGGACACTCAACTGCTCACCTGCCTGCCTTGGCTGTGGCCAGAGGCACCCCAGGGGCCGGGTAAGCTTTGCTATTATAATAAACTGCATGTTTACTGAACACGAGTCTCTATAACTAGGTGACAACTCTTCATTGTAAAGAAGCATATGAAATGCTACTTCAGGTCCGGCCGAGTGGCGCGATGGTTAAGAACTGGCTTGGGACGCCAGAGGGTCCCGGTTCGGATCCCACATATGAGGGCCAGTGACACTGCCCTCCACAGCTAAGATGCTGAACAACAGCTCAACCTGGAGCTGGG